TTATGAACGAAACTCGACTGAAACTACTGTTCTTTTATTACTAAAAAAAAAAAAAAATATAAAATCTATAGATGCGTGATATTTATAAAAAAAAAAAAAAAGAAAAGTTAATTATATTTGAACGATTCTTGTTGACTCCAACGTCATCCAAAGTATTTGCTGAAGCTTGACAATATTCTCGAACTTTTACAAATTTTGAATCACGTTCTATGAACATGGTTACTTCGTGCAGAATTTTTGTCCTAAAGAATGACATAGTATTATATATACATATATGTATATGTTACCGTGAAAAACCGAAATTGGAGAATGTCGAGATTTACATGGTGAAATGTCAACACGTACCAAATACGTTGTCGGTGAAAGATCGAATATTTGGGTTTATTCTTATACATTAATATTTCGGACATTTCGTGTGAATGTTGACATTATCCAATTTCGGTCTTTCACGTGATAACATATATATCTTTTAAAAGAAACTTTTTCCCTAGAATAAGAAGTCAAACTTGAAAATGTTCTCATCCTATCTCTCTCTCTCTCTCTCTTTCTCTCTCTCTTTCTCTCCCCCCCCTCTCTCTTCTTTTCTTTTTCTTTTTCTTCATTGAGAGTTTCATCCAACGATGGTTGGCAAAAGAACACACGGAAAGATAACTACCAAGGCGACCTGTGGGATAACGATAATGCTTGCAATAAAGGAAATTACTATTCCACGGTTTAAGGTTCTGACGGTGAGCTGCAACTTAAAGAAAAACGTGTAGAAAGAAAAAGATAGGGAGGGAATACTCGTTTTGCAATTTTAAGTAGTTCATATCTACCCTTCTCCTCCTTCTCTTACGAGAATCGCTCATCACATTAAGCTAGAAGAAATTTTCCTCACGATCGAGACATCTAATTGTAAATTAACGTTCTACCGAAATATGAAAAAAAAAAAAATCTACGAAAAAAGAACTCGCGAATCCATTTAAAATGATAAATTTTATATTATCACACAATTATTCTCTATATATATTCTATATTATATTTATTTATTTATTTATTTATTCGTCAGTTCGCATTCTTGCCTATCAAAAGTTTGAGAGTTAAAAAGCAAAGAATTAAAAATAAAAAAAATGAAAAAAAAAAAAAAAAAACGTGCGACAACGAACAAAACGTTATCGTAATATTGAAAAGAAAATGATCACTTTGTGGTTCCTCGTTGAATACACTTTAATGTTAATAAAATTGATTAAATTGTACAAATTAAAACGATAATTAATTGAATCAAATTTATCTTAGTCACACGTTGAAATTGCTTTCTGCAAACATATGTTTTTTTTTTTCTTTTCTCTTTTAGAAAGAACAGAGAAATAATAATATAAATGTTCTTCTTCTTTTTCTCTCTCTCTCTCTCTCTCTCTCTCTCTTTTTTTTCTTTCTTTCTTTCTTTCTCGGCAATAAAGTCGAACTCTCGAAACCATTATCGCGAATGCACATTAATCGATCGCTATCGCTGGTAGGCGGTCATCGAAGCATTTCATTTTATGCACATATGTATGTACATGCATAGATATACATATATATATATATACGTGTACACAAACATCGAGAACGTGACTCTATCTGGACGTTGTCCATCCTTTTATCGACCATCTGAACGTACCAATAACGGAAACGATTGCTCCTATCGATACTTTCGCGCACGAGCGTTTAATAAATTCTAATGTTCCTCGATTCACCTAGAAATATTTTTTCTCCTTCTACTATATGAATATAATGAGGAGATATAAACTAGGGAATAATACAACAACAATAATAATAATAATAATAATATTGTAATGATAATGATTTTTTTATCGAACAAAAGGCAATAAATAACAGATAACAATCGGGTATTAAAATACATGGAAAAAAAATATAATTTTTTTTTGCTACCAATCGAAGAGTTTAGAAATAAGTTTGTATCGTTGAGAAACAAATAAGACAATTGAGTAAAAACTGTTATCTTTTTCTCAAGATGACAACGTATCCGGTTCTCTTCTGGGGATTAAACTAGTGATAAATATTGCTTGTATGGGTATATGTGACAAAGCAAGCCAAAAAAAAAAGAAAAGATAAAGAAGAAGAGTGAGACAGAGAGATAAACGAGAGTGTCATAAAACGGAAGTGTACAAAATAAACTCGAAGAAAATACAGAAAAGAAAAGGGAAAGAAAAAATATGTCTCCATTGTTAAAGTTTTCGTTGAACAACAACCAAAAACTGTCCTATGACTAGTCGGGGGACAATAATTATGAAAGATGTTAATTTCCGTAAGTTGAAAGAAGAGAAAGCAGAGAAGGAAGAGGAGGAGGAAGAGGAGAGGAATAGCGTGGTATTCTCGAGAAAGGTGAAACGAGCCGTTGACACTTGTATATAGATACTGCAAAAGCTAGGAACAGCAAGTAGCAAACGAGTAACAAAGGCTACCCAAGAGAATACTTTCTACACGATGCACGTGCGACGTAACACTTTTCATATATTATGAATTACTATGCAAAGAAAATGGAACCAAAGGATTGAGAAGGACGAAGAGATGGAAAATGAAAATAGAGAGAAAGAGAGAGAGAGAGAAGTTGCTAAGATACGGCACGCAACGAAGAAATTTTTTGAAAAAAAAAAAAAAGAACGAGCATACAAACGATAGACTATCAAACATTCTTGTTAAAATTTGACATATCTTGTTGTATAATAATAATCGTCATTTGGCTTGTTTCTTATTAAATCGAATCTGTTTGTCTCTCAAGCAAAATGTTTGTGACTATTTTTCAAATTTAATAATAAGACGTGAAAAAAAAAAACAGTGTAAAAAGTGACGATTATTAATTAGTGATACGGGAGACTATAGAGACACTTACGATTTTATCCTATTTTATTTTATCAATTTGTATCTTTAAATAAATATATATGTTAGTTATATATGTAGTATAATATTTTTAATGAATATATATAACAAAAATTATAATTAATACAGATGTTAATAAGAGCAGAGAAAATTAATAATAAACATGTCCTCGATCGTTCGTGTCACACGCATTAGGGTTACGCATATTTTAAATAAAAAAAATTTAGGAAGGAAGGAAGAGGAAAGAAGAAAAAATTAGAGAGTTTAGTTGAAATATTTCGTGTTTCTTAATTAAGAAAACCGAAATAAAAGTTGAAAATGTTTAACCTACCTCTTTTCTAATACGAGATATTTATTAAACGTGTAATATTAATATCAAAAGCAAATATTACGAGTATGCGAACGTCGAGAGGACCAAACTGAAACGCTTTTTCTACTTTTATTTCTATGACATAAAACATACGGAATGTTTCAAAATATCTGGGCGTTGTTTCGGTACGCTAAAAAATAAGAAGAAACAAAATTTCATATAAATCATATGCCCAATATCAACCTATTTCTATTATTATATTGCACACGCGTTGTTACATGATTTTCATAGAAACTGTTCGAAGTGGTGGGCACTTTTAACTTCAATGCATACTTTAAAAAACTTATCACAGATCTTATTACATACTGAAATTAACTCCTCTGAATTTAACTCACTCACATATTTTGAAACATTCAATACAAATATTATATATATATATATGTGTTTACATATATATTGTATATTCAAGTAGACACTCTTAAAAGATTCTCGTTAAAATTGAAACCAAACGTATACTTACTCGATTCTCATTGAAAAATATCACTCCTGTTCTCTCCCCGATCAGGTTTATAATTAAAGATTAAATAGATTTATTTTTAATTGTTAACAAACGAATTCTTGATGGTGGTAGGAATTTTTTTCTTCCTTTCCTTCTTTCTTATCTGTTTTTTCTTTTTTGCTCCAATTCCTCTTCTTTTCTTTTCTTTTCTTTTCTTTCGTAGAAAGAAATAACTCTCAGAGTATTTCTTCGAGTGGTACACCTCTTCTATGAAGTAAGGACCGGTGTTAAATTCATTTACTTAACGATGCAAATGTACTACGAGTCGGAGGAATACTAAAAGTACCGTGGGATAAGTGGTAGAAAAGAAAGACGAACGAAGTTCGAAACGTTTTAATCCTATCCTTAAATATCTATCGTTGCTAACAGCAACCGCGTTTGGTCGATCGGTCAAATGAATTCATTGTCCTTTTTCTAGGTTTTTGCATAGCAATTAAAGAAGCTTTCAAATACTAATGCGCGGTACCTGCGATTGATGTAAAACTAACGACGAATAAAAAAAAATATATTACGCGTTTCTATCAATTATTATATCAATGATAATTATGAGTTAATGAGATTTTTGATAAAATACTGTCCTACATTATTCGATTTCATAAAGGTATTTTACGAACGCATTAAAAAATAACTTCTCTCATTTACGTATTTTCTTCCCGATTGAAAGTATCGATCAGCGAGGATAAAACCGCCCGCACATTTTTCTCTTAATAGAAATGAAATCGTCGTTGTTTTGCGTAAAAGTTCTTTGCTTTTATCCCCGATAAGTTATCGAAGTAACTTAATTCCTTAGAATATACGGGATTGGATTGAAGAGTTTCGAGCCTATTGTTTTCTACAAATTTTGAGACTATGTCAAAAAATAAAAGTAAATTTGATCGAAAAAATATTAAGGCTTAAAAGTTTTCAACCTATTCGCATATAATTGAACTGAATTATAGAAACATTGAACAATCCTAAACATGACTAAAAGAATTTATTTAAGAACAGTCACGAATCCTATAATTTTTTTGATCAACTCTTACGTTATATAAATATTATAATTAAAACAAAACTGCAATTTTGTACAAGATACAAGTGCTCAGAGATCTTCAAATTTATTTAAACAATATTATAATAAAGCTATCAAGAGAATCTTGACCATTATTTTCAACGAATTAAAACTCGTATCCTTCGAGATCTATCCCTTTGTTAAATGGGACGTAATCCTTTCTATCCTGTATCATGTAAAATCGAGAGGATTCTCTAAATTTTCTGTCGAAGTAGCTCAATCGTCTGAATAAAAGGATAATACAAATAAAATAAAGAAATGTTCAAACGAGACACGCATGTGAGAATCGAAGCACGGAATTTTAATATAATAATAAATTACTTGAAATAATTTTTCGCTGTCAAATGTTTCAATAATATTTGATGTAGCAAAGCTTTCGAATAGACTTTAGTTAAATCGTTGATACGATAATGAATTTCTACTTCTTCTTCGGTTAAGAGAATGCAATTCCATGGTGACCATTCAATGTGATTATTATATCTGACTAATCTTAACAGGTGAATATCTTCCTGTTTACTTATGACTGAATGACCATGCCAAATATTATTAATTAAATGATAAACGTCTCTCGGTTGCATCATAAATGCCAATGCCGAAAAACATCTTCTTCGTTTTTCTTCAGCTCTTAGGTGATTTAAAATAAAAATATATGGGTCGTAATTCACGTGACAATAGCTTCGTTCCCTCAATGTTGTGCAACCTTTAAAAAAACGATATTTAATTTGTTTTAAATATCTTTAACCCTTTTGTACTCCAACTTCTTTATCTTTATCTTTATTCTTTATCTAACTAATTGGCACGCTATAAAAAATGTGCAGAGTGCAAAGAGTTAATATACTTAATATGTGTTAAATACATGTATGTATGTATGTATATGTGTGTATTTATGATTAAAAAATTAAAACTGCATTTACTGGTGCAAGTAGTTAATTTTTTTAATCCACTGTGAGGTGAAAATCTGTTATAAGGAAGTATCCTTTTACACCCTCTACAAAATATCATTTCAATCTCTAAAGGTTCACGAAATTCTTCGCACTGAGGATCTTTTTTAAAACCCTTGCTGATATTTGTACAAGAACAAGTAGCAGAAGTTGCTACGAATTTCAAATAATCACCTATATTAATTAAAATAATCATGATTATAGAATATCAAAGAGATTTTAGAATGAATTTTAGAATTATTTTATATCGGATTCTTACAAAGTATTCTTTTCCTTAAATATTCGAGAGATAAATTTTGAATGCCTCGTGACAATAACATAATCTCTTGATCCAACAAATAAATCAAATCGAAAGCAGAAATACAAATATGAAATTTCAGTGATCTCTTTAAAATTTGTAATAATTCTAATCGATCATCCACAGTCATATTATTTTTACTTAACGAATTGTAAATACTCAAATATTCCCGTGCTTTTTGATTTTTCAACGTGACCATTTCTATGAGTTTAGATTTGTATCCGTGCCATTGTATAGATTTAGAATTGATCCTTAAGAATTTAACGCGTTTCCTCGTTTGGTATTCCTCCCTTATACTTTGTTTGAATTTATCTAAAACGTTGAACATTTTCACGGTTTTTTCGAGAAGAAAACAATTTTCGGCACATTGTGTTGCTTTGAAATAACGTTCATTTATCTCGTTGGTACGATCACGTCTCCAACGTTCGATTAATTCATACAACATATCAAAATCTGTTCTGCTTCGTGGATTAATCTTTCGTAAAAGTTCTTGCTCGTATCTTTTTCTGCGAACACATTTTCGAATATATTTTGTGTTGTATTTCTTGTTAAGAATATACTATTATTATGGTTTCCCTTAATATATTTTTTTTTTGGTACAAGTAAAAAAGTTTGACTAATAAATAGTGTCTTTTCTTTATGATCAATTTTAATGAATTATTTTATTTCTTTCTTATCTAAATTATATATTATCGTATACCTGTACATAATAATTCTCTCTTCTTGATACCGTTTACATTCATCCATTATTTTCCTATATTTTCTAGCGCATTTCTTTAAATATTTCAAGAGTCTATAAACTCGATAATTTTTTTGTATTATCCTCGCATTTCCATCGAGATCAAGACGCCATTGTATTTCATCGTATGTTACATAACACTTAGCAGTCATGTATTTATCCTTTGCATTCGATACATTACAATTTGTTCTACGTTTACACAATATTAATCGAAATTAAAAGAAAAAAAAAGAAAACCAAATAAATACATAGATTACAAAGTAAACGTTAGATATTTTAATTTACGTATGTCATCTAACCGCCACATCTGAGTAATTTTATTACGTGACGATTGTGTTGTCTCATCTTTAGTTTCCACAGTTTGCACGCCGATACTACAGCAATCGTGCCAGGAAATATTTTTAGGTGGTGGTCCCGTTTGAGATGCTGCGTTTAAATATTTGTCACCGGTGATTTTATTTCGCCATCCACCTAAATATGGTTTCACTATCTTCCGATCTTCAATTTCCGTTATTAAAACCATCCTCTCGTTAATTTCTAGCACCGATTATTATACGACCAAACTTTTTAACACCAATTGCACGTCTTTTTTTTTTTGCTACAACAGCAGCAGTGTTTTTTAAACATACGACGATAGGCTCATTAAAAAAAAAGATAAGCAAGATTGTCCATCCATTAAAACGCTCATTCTTGGTATTTTACAAGCTTATTAAAAAAAAAACGATTAATATAAAATAATACAGACATCTTCAAATATATATATATATATATATATATATATATAAGAGAAAATAAATCACGCGTTTAAATTTTTGTTTTTTATATATGAAGCAAATTTTTGTCTTTATATATATATATGTTATAAATAAGGGCGACTTAAAAAATATTTTGCATTCTCCGAGCAGATCTTGTGTTATAACAAGTAACGAGGAAATTTATATATAACATACATTTAAATTATTGATATTATATATAATGTTTTAATTTACAGTTAATTTAAGATACAATGTGTCCTGTGTAACTGGTAGTACAAGCAAGCAAAGAATAATTCTACATGAAAAACTAAGTCATAATGTAAAATAAAATTTTTTCGTATAAAACTTTGTTTTCGAAAAAAAATAAGTTTGACAATTTGTCAATTATGCGTGCATTTGATTTAATTTCAGCTCATTGTCAGATCCTTGTGCTTATCAAACGAGATTATTGATTTATAAAGATTGCAAGCTCAGTCAAGTGCACACGTACTCAACAAATTTTTAAACTTATTGTTCTCAAAAAGAAAGACTAACATGAACAAATTTTATTCTATATTTTCGATTTACTTTTTCATGTAGAATTACTCCCTACCTGCTTATACTACCAATTACAAGACACTTTGTATATACGCAAAAAAGATTGATTCTGAAGTTTACAGCGAAATGCTTTTTCCAATCCTTTTTAGCTACCTTTATTTTTTAAATGAAATCTTTTTTTTCTCAGGACTTCTTCTCGTCTATTACCGCTATAAGCCATAATTAGATGTATCCTATTATTTAGTATGTATAGTTAACATTATCGCACTATCTACATTATTACTATTGATTCTACATGATAATATTTACACTTCACATTGGCTTTTAACTTTTTTTATAAACATTATTTAATATATTTGTATGTGTGTATATAAATATACATATTTATATATACATACATACTTGCGTATACGTATGCATACATATACACACGTTCGTTCGCACGCGACATACATCGATTTTCTCCTTTTAACACATACTAAACATTTTTTCATATAACTTATGTACAAATATCGTTTTCTTATTAGCAATAGAATTTATAAAAAAAAAAAAAATGTTTATATCAGAAAATGTATGAAATTGTATATTACGTGACTGTAGGATTACATAATTAAAAATAGAACACATTCATATTTTGTTTTAAAATAAAAATTTTGCCGTTTCTATCTTTTTGTTTTTTGTCGAAATATGTCGAATAAAATTTGGAGATATTTTGTCGAAGTATATTATGTTAAAAAAGCTTTCGAAAAATTTAATAGGGCCTAAAATAAATACATGTTTTTACTGTTATAAAATAAAAACATGTCTATTAAGGATATACAAATTTAAGTAAGCTTAATCAAAGGAAAATGTTGATGACATGAAAAGTCAAATACTGGCGGCTCTTTCGAATCCTTTTTATGTCCATCAGCCAATAATTTAAGAACCACGAAATTAGTCTTTGCCACTTTTAATAAATCATTGATCTGTAAAATAAAAACCAATTTAACAAAAATATAATATACTTTATAATACTTTGATGGATTTTCATTTAAAAAAAGGAAAAACTTCTTACCTCACCCAAGGTATTAACAGTTGTCGGACAAGGTAACAATATTGCACGTTCTAACATATTTCTAGCTCTATGAAAGTGCCAACAACCTGCCAGATATTGTGTTGAGCTCGTGACTTTGTCCTAAACAATCAATCAATCAATAGCAATTAGATTAATATTTACAAATTTTCTTAATTAATAATAATATCAATATATATATATATATATATTTACTAACACTTTTCTTATACAACTGAGCTTTAGTCATTTCTGAAAATTCTTGATAATGAACCGGTGGAGGAGTACGAAGAGAAGAGAATGGCAATAATCTATGTTCGTATCTTACTCTTTCTGAATCAAATTGGGTTTCTGGAAGAGGAATCTTTCCATCTATACGAAATCCGACCAATGCCTATAAATATTACTTTTTAATTTAAATTACACACACAAAATAAATATATATATATAACTCATTACGTAACTGTAAAAACGTACTTTGTAGTAACCGCCACAAATATTTTGCATCGCTTGGTATATTAAACTTTCAAAATGATGTGGTCTTGGTGTGGATTTCTTTTTTTTATTTTTGGCACTCTTTTTACCTCCCCTACCTTTATGTGTATCATTGTGCGCTTCTTGTTCATTTAAAAATGTATCCGCTCTTGTAATTGCAGATACTAACCATGCATATAAAAATTCATGCAGATACCAAAAAATATAATGATATTCATGTACAGAGTATAATTCTAGTTCGAAACCACTTAAGAGATACATAATCATTACACGTAACATATGATATAAAATCCATGTGCCAAAGCAAGCCCAATGCGACCTTGAGATGTCACTCTTTAATGAGCGTAAGTACCCATCTACTCTTTCAGCCTAAAAATATACACGCATCTTTATATAGATTAAAAATGCATCTATCATTTAAATAAGATTAATAGAGATAATATAATAATCAGATAAGAATTAAAGCGCATTATTACCTTATCTTGTAAGGTTGCGAAATCTTCTAATAAATGTGCTAACTTATCCCTTTGTCTAGCCCTATTATGTCCAGTCAATTGCAATAAACTTCCAAACAAGGTAACACAACGTGAAAAAAAACCATCGACATATTCCTTGACCTGATGATTTTGAAGTAACGTATTTTTAGACATTAATACCGGTGGTGCAATAAAATTTCTTGCCGCATCTTTCAAAACATCGGCAAAATTTTGTACGCCAAATACACGATTTGTTGTTGGGAGATAAACTATTTGTAACATTGATCGAGATAATATGCATGGGCTTCTCTGTGAAAATTCTAAAAAAAAGTCCTAAAAAGAAATTCGTTCACTTGACATTTAAGTTATTAATCGTCGTCATTTATAACAACACTAACTTACCAGTGCTGCGTGAAATCCGGTATGAGTAGTAATTTTAGTAACAGTTTTAAATCTATTTAACAATTCATCTAGATATTCTAAAGCCTCAACTCGAGGTTTTATTTTAGTATATCGTGGAAAAGTGGGAGGTAATAATCTTTGATTAACCATAGCATCAAAACCCATTATATTTGGATGATCGGCTATTAAAAATAAATAATTCATAAGAAAGAATATTTAATTAAGCAGATAAATAATGAGCATAATAAACTTACATATTTCATCTGCCTTTTCTCCACGATTAACTGTCTTGATCATAACTTGAATCATATCGGAACAATTTGATAATAATCTTTGACAATCAACTAAATTTTGTTGCAACTGTTCCTTGCGTCCCATCAGTGATAAAGTTTGATAGAACATCTTGGTAAATCTAATTCTCACATAAAGCGCTAAGCCATCATTGTACTGTACAGTGAAATACAACACTAGTTAATTTGGAAAATATGAAATACTTCAATGGACATTAATTAAATATTTTTACATATAGAAAAGAATAAAATCTCACCTCTTTTTCTGACTCGACGTCAACTGGTTTTATTCTACTTTTTTTATGAAGTTCTTCTTCCACTTCTCTCAACATAGATATTGTTTTTTGTTCAGTAATGTCTTGTTGTAATCTGTATCCATACGTAAGACTTTGAAAATCTTCTTCCTCAAAAACTAACGCTTTGTTAATGCAGTCCTTGATCACTTCGATAATTTTATATACGGCATAACAAAACGTTTTCAAAGGTTTGTCGAGTATCATTGAAGGCTGATGTAAATATAAATTAGTAAAAACTGTCTGTACTAAGCTATGTCCTTCCAACCAACACACTATGCAAGAGTATGTAGAATCTATTATTCCAATAACTTCAGAGGGTGTTAAATTATCCAATTTAATGGCACCCGTTTCTACAGCTTGTACGAAAGTACAAGGCTTGCTATTCCCACGATTACACAGCATGCCTGCATCCATTTTAGGATCCATCATCTCGATGGCTGACATTGCTTCAAAAAGACCAAAGAACTCATTGTGTAAGAGTTCTCCCAGTTCCAACTCTAAACAAAAACACAAAACTGTATAAGTAAAGATTATCTTTTTATAAGCTTTTAGATTTTGTTATAAAATGCATATAGATTCTTATCATTTATTTAACTTCACTGTTATTCTTAAACTTAATTTTAATATTGTACTTTTTACTTAATTAATTAAAAAACCTAATTCTCATGTCTAGCATACAACATGTAACATAAAAAATATATACTTTTATAAAAAGAATTCCCTAAATAACATACTTTTAAAGCAATGAAATAATAAAATGAAAAATAATGGAAAAACAAAAAGAAAGAAAATAAATGGCCCTAATTAATACACATAATTTATATATATACATATATATCACATATACTGCATCTTATTTTGATTACCTGTAATAGCATCGAAGAATTCTTGGGTAATATCTACCCAATTGTAGGAAACTTGATTAAATCTGCAATGCAAATATTCATAAAAATTAGAAAAAAAAGTGTAACTCGCATCCCTTTTGAAAATATGTTGTATATTAGGTTATTTCTTGTAAACGTTATCAACGATACTAAATTTAATCAAGGATTTCTTCTAAATATAATTTACAATAAAAGTATGAAAAAATTGTAATAATTATTATTTATTTGTCATAACTTACGGCAGTTTTTTATCCTCATTCATATCAACCGAATTTTCATCCTCCACCATGGTCGCCATTGTTGTCCTAACAGCATCACCAATTGTTAAATTGAAAAAAGATTTTTTCGACTAAAAACCACGGGCCATGAAGAACCTTATTTTATAGTTGGTAAAGAAGAACTAGAACGCACTCTACCATCATCCTAGGAAACATTTTATGACAACATTTAACAAATCATACTTTTTTAATTTGATTAAACCCCTTAATCAAATTTTCAACATTTATCAAAAAGTAGAAACAAAAATTGGATTTTATGCTTTACATTAAAATAAAAATTATTGCAATTCAAAATAAATATTAAAATAAATTTTTGTTTATTTTCTGATTTATTGTCAGTTAAATATCATAATTACTTACACATTTATTTATTCAAGTTTTGTGCCCTATATGTAAAAAGATTTGTGCGCAGTCTCAAATACTAGAATGAAATTGACACACAATCTTTAATTTGAAGCAGGGGAAGCAACACTTGAAAAAAATATTCTCTTCTTTTCTATTGAGTAACGTAATATATATATATATATATATATATATATAGTATATTTCTTAATTATAATCTTATAGTGTCAAATAAATACAAAAATAAAATATACTTGTATTTAACAATTTATATTGATACTAATTGTATAGTATAAATTAATATAGAAAGAATATCTTTATTGAAAATATTTTATCAATATCAATAATGTTGGTATTAATGTCTACGAGATTGACAGATCGTTTTGACTAAATTTATTCGTAGTACGCGAGTTGTGTGTTTGTGTATTTAGTAAAATTGTAACGAAAAATATTATTTATATTATTATATTTTTGTGAGGTTATTTAGAAAAGAGTAACATGGATGAAGCCAAATTTTTGAAAAGGTATATACAAAATTTGTATACTTTATATCGATTATAAAAGAATACATATTTGTCACTTTATGTATCAAATAATTTAGATCTGATTAATATTTACATTATAATTTATAGAAAAGTTAGATCTGGAACATTAGATGTACACCCAACGGAAAAAGCATTAGTAATTAATTATGACGTTGAAGCACTCATTTTAGGAGAACTTGGTGATCCTATGCTTGGAGATCGTAAGGTAAGATATATCCTCTATATAATTAAAATTAATTTATCTCCTAAGAATAATTAATTGTCTAATTAGATATGTTTCATTATTATAGGAATGTCAAAAAATAATTAGATTGAAAAGTTTAAATGCTGATACTAACGTAGCATTATTAGCAAAGGAAGTTATGGATAAATGCTCTCTGATACACGAGTCCAAATTACACGAAGTTGAACAGCTTATTTATTACCTTCAAACACGTAGAACCAATGAGAGTGGTAAGGTTTTCTTGATTGTAATTTATTTATTTCTTTAATTAATTGTTTATATGTTTTTTTTACATAGGTAATGACAGTACTACTCCGCTTCAAAGACCGACGTCATCTAATTCTATGAATATAGAAAGCATTGATTCAGAACGGGCTATCATCAGTAACATTAATAGTTACATCGAGTTATTATATGAAGAAATGTCAGATAAAATAAAAGGATCATCATTGATCCTACAATTAGCCCGTATACCTGACAATCTTTTGGAATTAACTAAAAATGGTAATTCTTATTAATATTATATATGAACATATAAAATTATTCTTGTTAATATCGATATCTTTTTTTTTAGAATCATTATTGAGTGCTTTGGCTAGAGTTCTTCGGGAAGATTGGCGACGCAGTATAGAACTTTCAACTAATATTATATACATCTTTTTTTGCTTCTCAATGTATAGCCAATTTCATAATATAGTTCTTGAATACAGAGTAAGTGTATAAAATTAAATAAGAAGCATAGTCATATTGACAATATTTTTGTAACATTTATGATATTGTATTATTTTTGAACAGATCGGTTCTCTTTGTATGGATATTATAATTTTTGAGTTAAATCGTTATGATCAATGGAAGGAGGATATGGACAAGTGTAGACGTCATTTTGAAAATACTACCGGATTGGTTCTTTTTCCTTCTACGAATGATACATGCGATAGAAGAATTAAAATTATTGACGATATTTGGAATACGGATGGTCCTTTGGATTATGAAGTCAAAAGAAGATCTGTTGAAGTTAATTCTAGTGTTAGTGAAAGTGATTTAAAGAAGATGAAAGATGAACTTGAAAAAAGTCGTAGAAAGTTTAAAAGTTTAACCAAAAAACAGGAACAATTATTAAGAGGTAATATATATTAATAAAGTCTTATAATGAATTTAATTAGCAATTAATTTAATTGCAGTTGCTTTCTACTTGCTATTGAATATTGCCGAAAACATGGATGTTGAAAGAAAAATGCGTAAAAAAAATATCATTGGTATGTTGATCAAAACATTGGACAGAACTAACATTGATTTATTAATTCTGGTTGTTACGTTTTTAAAAAAATTATCTATTTTTCGCGAAAACAAGGATCTAATGGTAAAATTACTGTCTGGGATATTATTAGATTTTTTTTGTCTTCCTTTTTTATTTTCCAAACAATATATATATGTTTTAAACAATTATAGGCGGAAGATAACGTGGTCGAGAAACTACCGCGACTTCTACAAAACAACAATATGGATCTTATATTAAGTACATTAAAATTACTATTTAATTTATCTTTCGATGCTAAGTTAAGAGCAAGAATGATACGAGTTGGTATGTTACCCAAATTGATTAAATTACTCAGTCATGGTAGGTATACTATTTTTTATCAATTATTTTACAAAAATGTAGGATACTATTTCTTTTATTTATCATATAAATTATCATTCTAGGTGACATCAAAAGTAAAGCTACCATCTTAGGATTATTGTATCACGCAAGTATGGACGATAAAGTCAAGTCTATGTTTACATATACCGATTGTATTCCAATGGTAAGTATTTGTTACATAAACAAATTTTATTTATATTTAAAAGGAAAAGAAATATGTAATTATATCGTAGGTAATGGATATGATTTTAAATCTTGAAGACGAGCCCTTGAAACAAGAATTAATAGCACTTGGAGTAAACTTAGCGACAAATTCAAAAAATGCACAACTTATGATAGAAAACAATCATTTACAAAATCTCATACAACAAGCATTTAGAAATCAAGACGCATTGATCATGAAAATGATTAGGAACATTTCTCAACATGATTCAGTGAAAGAAAATTTTGTTGTAAGTTAATTGATACAAATATTTTGTATTACTACTTATAAATATTTACAAAGATACTTAAAAATTAATATATAAATATATGTATTATTAGGAATTCGTAGGTGACTTTGCTATGGCTGTAAATCAATCAGATTCCGAAGATTTTGTAATAGAAGTTGTCGGTATTTTAGGAAATCTAGAATTATCCGATTTAGATTATTCTCAAATTCTTCAACGATGTAATTTAATACCTTGGATACGCAACAATTTAGTTCCAGGTACAAATCATAAATAAAATCTATAAGTGCAACTTTTAAATATCAAAAAATATTTTATTTTTAAAAATCATACGTATTTTACAGGAAAAGCGCAAGATGATTTGGTACTTGAGGTTGTAATATTCTTAGGTACCGCAGCTAACGATGAAGATTGTGCTCGTTTGTTGTGTAAAGCAGATATTCTTTTGTCTCTTATCGAATTGCTTAAAGGTTTTTATTGAATTTTATTATATTCTGTAATATTTTATTAAAATGATAAACGATAATCATTTAAATTAAATATGTTACAGCAAAGCAAGAGGATGATGAAATGGTTTTACAAATAATTTATGTATTTTATCAAATATCTAAACATGATTCAACAAGAGATTATTTAATCCGCGAGACTGGTAATGGTAATAAGCAATCTATTTTGCTTTACTCGTTATAAGTTAAAAAAATCATAGAATATATAAAAATAAATTTTCAAATAGTCCTATAATAAAAATAATTTAATCAATTTACAGAAGCACCTGGGTATTTAATAGATTTGATGCACGATAAAAATCCAGCAATCAGAAAAGTTTGCGATGCTTGTTTGGACGTTATTGCTGTTAGTAGTTTCTACTCTGAAAAAATTTACCAAAAAATTATCAATTATTATTAAATTATACAAATATTTTAGATGTGCGATAAAAATTGGGCAGCGCGTATTAAAGTAGAAAAATTTCGATCGCATAATCAACAATGGCTGGAAATGGTTGAATCTATAGGTGCAGATGCAGCTACACAATTACTACCAGATGAAGATGACAGTCTCTCGCCGTTTCTAAGTGGAGAACTTTTAAAACACACTATGTTGTTCCCATCTGGTAATTAATTATTATTAAATATATTATATTATTTATAATAATATTACATATATATATATATATAATTTATATTTTTTTTTCTACAGGTAACTCAGCATTATATAATACAGACGATGGATTTTCATTGATGAAAAATTCGTCGGGATCTTCTGAAAATCTCAGTCGACCAGTTAGCAGGTGACCTTTCTTTATATTTTATTAAATAAAATATCAGTCAAACTCTTTTATAAATAAATTTTTTTTTAATTTGTTTATGTAGGTATAGAGATCTCGATGAAATAGGTGAACTTATGGCACGTTCGAAATCACGAATATCAATTGGCACAGGTTTGGAAGATTCATATTACAACAACAGAGTAAAATTTACTGATTTAGATAATCCACATGTATTGATATGAGGGCAAAGTAATATTACATATTACTAACGTGTATTTTCTCATGATTCCTACATGTATCAAAGCTTATGTTCTTTCTTATATGCAAAATATTAGAATAAGTATTCTACAAAGATGTGTCTCTATATTGAAAGAACTATATTGTGAAGTTATATGAAAGATTTATTTAATTGATCTCGTAGTTATACATACATATATATATTTATATATATCTAGTGCCTTTCTTCTTTCTTAATTTATTAGACGTATTTCTTATTGCTCTTCAATTACTAGTCATTTATTTTACTTATTATTATTATTATCATTTCTATAATTATAATTATAATTATAATTATTATTATTGTTTTGCAATTATTCAACGTAATAGTTACTATGTTATAAAGTAAATGTAAAACTCCCCCAAAAAATATACAATTTCAACTTCTTTTATATACAGGATGTCCTGTACTACCAGTTACAGAGCACCCTATATATATATATCTTTTTAAAGCATTTAATATAAAAAAAAAAATACATAAATGTTAGGAAGCTAATACCAAAGAGTTTTATATGTAAAATAAAATTGATGATTTAATCAGAAATATGTAAGAATATTTAAAATAATGTCAACGATATCAAATATTTTTTATATGCTTACAAATTATAATTTAACTATTATTTTTTTAGATATAACAAGTAAATTTACTACGGCCTCGAATATATAAATTATTTATAGCGCTATATGATTTTGTGCAATAATATATAGTTAGTAAATTAGTTTGATAATTATTTATGTATTATTATTTAAAATTTCTTTCATTTTATTTTTCATTTTTGATTGAATTTATTTTGCTCAATATATATATATATGTATCTATATAAAAGACTGGTAGGAATATTAACACAATGAAAATTTATCAAGCGATTCTTAATTTATTGTTAGAACTTAAACTTTTTCTTATAATACATTCGGCGTTGGGATTAAATAAAATAGTATAACTATTATCACCATCTGTAAAAAATGTATGTTCTTTCAAATCCCAACTAACAGGACTATCAGAAAATCCTTGTACGTGTAAACTGCACCATGGTAAATTTTTTTGCGATAATACGTATTCCCTTACGGAATTATAAATTTTTATCGCTCTTCGTCTAGAAAAAAATCCTGTATATTGTAGATATTTTACTTGATCTACAAGTATATTTGGTTTCGGACATTCATACGTATTTACATACTCTGATATTTCTTCATTTTTTCTAATAAAAAGGACCCAAAAAACAATGTAAGAAAATAGATAATTTATGTTGTTACGTATGTGATATTGTAATAAACATTAATTTAAAAACTATACGTACATATATCCGGAAATACTAAACACACCAAGCCATTCAAAAAAGTCGTCATTAAAATTAAAATTATCAGTAACAATAGGTATATTAACACGATGTTCAGTTCTGTATGAAAGTTTTTGACGACAAAGTGAAACACTATATCCACGTTGGTGAAACCATGCAGCAACTGAGGACGGGCACAGATTTTCATCTTAAAATGAAATAACTTGTATAGCGAATTTATAAATAAATATGTATTACATATCAAGCTATTATTATCATTAAAAGAGGGATTTAATTTACCTGGTGGTTCCCATATTAATATTACATCAAAAATCAGATCAAGGTGATTCTCCAACGCTGTTTTAACACGTTCATAATTTTTCTTACCAGGTAGGAAATGCTTAGCTGTTAAATCAATTTCCACGACTACGATAATAAATGTCCAAAATAAAAATAAGTAAGATAAGAATTAAAACGATTGGGAATTAAAATAATAAGTCAAATTAAAATATTATTTTTGATATACCATTCCGTGTATTTGTTTTACGATCAAAAAAAGACGTATTTCCTTCTAATCCAAGTTTATAAAAATCTTCACGTATCAATGAAATTATCAAGATACCACTTGGAGTAATAGCTATGGTATTAGATAAATCGATTTTATTTCCAATTGCTAAAAGCGTTAATTCTCCTGAAAAATTTATATTATATTATTATATTATTATGTTATTATGCATTAACGCTAAGAGAAAATGATACGTATATAATCATTAACGTATTAATATTATACATAAAATAAATACGTATAATATATAAGTATACCAATATATAAGTAAGAACAAACAGTTACCTTTTTTAACAAATGCATCAATAAATTGTTTATTCAATAATTCAGAAACACGAAGGTCTTTAATTTTATAATAATCACTATCATCTGAAATGTTATTCGTTACACTATCAGGTATATTACTTGATTGTGGAAGTATCACAGAAACCTATAAACAAAAATTATCAATCAAATTGACCACTTTTCTTTCATGCACATATATTTTGTATACATAACCTACAAACACGTGAATAATTACGACGCCAGTTACTTACTACATGATTGAAATAATGCTTCGTAATTGTACCAGGAACATCTATTTTTTTATTATCTAATTTTTCAACATCGAAATAATGTTGAGGTGGTTTAAAATTCCATACTTCAGGACTTAACATTCTAACCTAATTCTATGTGTATCTTGATTAACATTAAAAGCACGTTGTTCTGTTTACTAATCCACGCGCATGCGTGCACACATACATTGATATTTATACAAAAGTAGATTTTTATATGATAGTACATCACTGTACATAAACTAAAAAGTTGACTTCATTGTCACAAGCCTCGGTAGCGCAGTAGGCAGCGCGTAAGTCTCATAATCTTAAGGTCGTGAGTTCGATCCTCACCCGAGGCAGATATTTTTTGCTATATTTTTAAAAATTATTTTTTTTGTGCATTCAATAACATAAATTAATTTTTATATAATTATTAAGACCATCCATCACCTTTCTACGTCTAACCCGTTCCTGCCGAAAAAATTAAACACTCTTTGCTGATGACCAACCATTTAACATCTCCGCCAAATTTCCAAATATGTATTACTCTTTAGATAATCATAGTGTAAAATCTTAAATACAAGAATTTACAAAAAATTGAATTAATTTTTCTAGGTTCGGTATATTCTGGCTTATAACTACTAAATCACAGTTGAACAGCGTTCAACTTCATATACAAATCGCTTACCACTCTTGACTTACGAAATTGTGAAATCGATTTCTTAAAATTCTTTTCATTTTATTATTTTGCATTATTTAATTTTTTGTTGAAAACAAAGAATAACATATTTAATTAAAATTTATACTTCTTATATTAAAAAATTAATTCTTTTTAATTTATTTTTCAAAAGCTATACATATATATTAAAATAACATTTATAAAATAAAAAATAAGATTTCTGATAAAAGCTAGTTTAAATAAATGATGTATATATATTTTATTTTATTTATTTATAATATTTTACATAAAATAATATAATTTTAATTTAGAAGATATATAATATTAGGAAATCATATCATATATAAATGTATTTATGTAATCAATTGTATATAGGTCCCGTGGCTCAGGTGGTAGAACGTTCATTCGGAAAGCGAGAGATCCAGGGTTCGAATCCCGGCGTGCAATTTCTTAAATTCTCTTCTTCTCTAGGTGGTATATCTATTCGACTTACTTTTAAGTGAAGGGTATCTTCCTTCTGTTCGCCAACCCTCTTGCTGCAGCGTTTTCTACTGGTTCAATTCTAACGAATATAATAGTGATATACAGTTCTAATAAAATATCCAAATGAGCATTCAACCCCAGCTAATACCATCCAATCTCTACTGTAAAATTTACTCTTGACCCTTGCTTTGTCCATATAAAAATCTCCGTTACTTCCCAGAGTGGTTCTCCACAACCACCAATCCACATTTGTCATATACAAAACAGATGATGGATCCCACCCGTTGACAATCAACTTTTCCGAAAATTCAAAATTTTTAATTAACAGTCGTCAATTGGCATCCAAAAAAATTCGTTAATTGATCAATAATATATTTGGAGTATATTATTCGAATCAAAATATAATGAATATCCCCCAACCAGTATTCAAAATTCTTCTTCCATCTCTTTACGATCGATCCTATTTAGAAAATTTAATTAAGGGAGGGTTACCATAATCACACAGTGGTATATTGTTCCTTAGTACGGAGCTACATAGTGAGATATTGCGCTCATCAGTATCTCATTATGAAGATAACGGTTTGGTACAAACTGTGAATTGTGGAAAGAAGAAGAAAGCCTGCGAACCCTTATTGTTTAAGGATTAATGGAATACCTCTAGAATCTTAGGATTTGAGAAGTTGTCACGTAGTTTAATTGGATAAAAACCCTTGCTCGATAAACTTGTTAGAACGCGTAATACCCCTAGGACCTATTTCTTTTTGTTACTTTTTTAGATTTATTTCTATGACATCTTTCATATATCTCTCATGAGATATTTAAATTTTTTATACTGTGCAACGCTTATTAACCATTTAACTGCGGCGCATTTAATTGAGAACCACATCAATATATACGCTGATATTTCTCTTGTGGTGGGGATTACTCTAGTAGTTCATATTTCTTCTGTACTTTTTGTTATATGAACAGCCTTAAGGCCACACAGAATATCGAATAATATTATAGTTATATATATTCCCAGCAGAAAGCGCTATCAGTTACACATAGTTTTAAAGTTACACACGTCATTTTATGGGCGACGAACACGTGGTGGTTTAATTGTTTAAATAATATTGATGCTGTTTTATATATCATGGAAACAAACAATAAAATACAATACTTGATCGTGGACACAAGTGCTTTTATTAAAAATGCACCACTGCAGGTAATAAATATAATTTCCATTCAACTAAAATCATATAGCAGATTTTATAAACTTTTGTACTTACTCGTTAAATATTTTATTAAATTATAAATATAATATTTATAATTACTTATTGTGTGTTATCTTAGGATATCGGTGTTAATATTATAACCGAACAAGATGTAGTTAATGAGATAACCAATAAACGCCAGTTGCGAAGGCTAGTTGTACTTCCATATGATTTAAGTGTTGAAAGTGCTTTTCCAGAGAACATTAAATTTGGTAATTATATTAAATTTATTATATATATATATATATAAATCTCATTATAAATTTATTATATATATATATACATCTCATTATAAATTTATTATTGAATATTGTCCTCTTAATAATTAGATTTATTATCCATTAGTTACTGAATTCGCAAAGAAAACAGGTGATTATACTAGTTTATCTGCCACCGATGTTAAAGTAATTGCACTTACGTATCAATTGGAAAAAGAAAAAGTAGGTACAGAACATTTAAAGGAAACCCCGACTATTGTAAAGACTATTAACAGTGCAAAACATAATAAAAACTCTTCAAAACCTATTGTTGGATTCTATATACCAAAGAAAAAAGTAAGTTTATATAAAAACATACATACATATCCATGCATTATATAAAAAATATTAAAAAATTCACTCTTGTCAATTTTTCCAAAACGCGCCAAAAGAAGTATAACTCCAAAAATTTTTAACATATATGTATAAATTACAGTCCAAAAAAACAAGTAAAACTAAAGATAAAAAAAATGTAATAGAAAATGAGGAAGAAGTATACGTTGATTCTCTTCTTGTAAATGAAGTTGATATTAAAGAAAACGAAGAAGGTCAAGAAGAGAAGGAAAACAAAAATGATGATGAATGTCTAGAAGATGAAGAAGATCGATTTTCGTCAGATACTACAGAATCTTCTGATGATGAATATGTATCCAATAATGAAACAGCTACATCTGATGTAGACGATAATGTAGATATTGAAACAAAAGATTTGGCAGAAAAATTTTCAAATCTTAATTGCGAGCCATCACAATTGGAGATTCAGAGTGAAGATGGAAATACACATAACGTAGATGATATTCTTGCGACTATATCCGATGAGGAAAATAAAGATTCATTAGAAGAGTCAAATGAATCTGATGATGATTGCAATAATGATAACGATTGGATTACACCAAGTAAGTCCTTCTTATTTTCGATAGAAATATCAAAATCATAGATATTATACATATATACAACATTAATAATTCTAGATAATATTAAAAATGTAAGAAAGCAAATGGACTCTGATGTACTTAAAGAAAAATCTGCTACCGTTGCTTGTTTAACAATGGATTTTGCAATGCAAAATGTTTTAATGCAAATTGGATTGAACGTAGCCTCATTGGATGGAAAAGTAATCAAACAAATGCGAACATTTATATTTAGATGTTACGCTTGTTTCAAAACTACCAGCATAATGACCAAAGTATTTTGTCCTAATTGTGGTAATAAAACGTTAAAAAAAGTTGCTATTTCGTTAGATGACAATGGCAAACAACAAATTCATATTAATACACGGAGACCACTTACAGCTAAAGGGAAGAAAGTATGTGTTCAAATTATAATAATAACTAAATTCGTGATATAAAGAATAAATAACATTCGTTTGTTCTTTTAGTTCTCCTTGCCAAAACCACAAGGTGGAAAACATGCAAATAATCCAATACTTTGCGAGGATCAACCTATGCCACAACAACGTATTTCTAAATTGGCAAGAACCAAAAATGATCCACTATACGATGACTACATAGCAGGATTTTCTCCATTTGTTACACGAGATGTATATTCTAAATCTGCTATGTTAGGTATTCGATCGAATGGTGGTGTTAAATATTGGATGAAGAAAAATCCAAATGAATCTAGGAAAAAACGAAAATAATCTAAAAATAATAGATTATTATTTGTTATATGATGTGTAAATGTAAATGTAATTTATATTAATATTTTCTAAAAATTCAATTCTGTTTTTCTTTATACCCATATGATATCCATAATTGAATCCTATTAATGTATATATACTATCATATTATCCAATTTAATTAACCAATTTTTGTGTAAATAAAAAATTTAGTTTTATTTAATAGTTTTATACAAATATTAACTATTATATAAATCGTTTATTATGAAAGTGGTATAGATCCATTTCAAAAATAATTTTACAATTAAATTGTTTATAAAAAGAAAGTTTACCATATGACATGAAATGTTTATGTCCTTCTCTACATAATATAATTATATAGCTACAATATAAATTTTAAGTGAATTGGTCATGAATTATTAAAGTTTTACACCGTTGAATAATAGTTGAATACTATTCTCATTGCAAGCTTCGCTTTGCTGAACTGTGACACTGCCATTTTGTAACGATTTGCAATAAAAAACTTTGTAAATATTGTTAAAAATGTGTATAAAAAAGACTTGTAAACGAATTTTTTTATTCCTATAAAAAGTTTTTAAAAATAAGTTATTTTTCCAAGCACTAGGGTGGCTTTAATTATAAATAAAACATTAAAATTGTTTTTTTTAATGTTTTTCAGTGTTGTTTCAGTGTTGTACCACTAGAGTGCGAAACCGTAACATAACGATAAACATGAAGTTATCTGAATATACCGGTAGTCGTTGAAATGAATTAATAAGATCGTGAATGATGATTTGAATTAATGTTTATGTGGTTTTTTACATGCATATAAAATAATTCCATTCTTATATATTTATTAATCTTCATAATAATAGTATTTAATTATATAAAAAAAAACAATTAATAAAATGTATTCGATTTGTAAAAGCACTCATCCTGCGACAGGAGTAGAACATGCGATCACATGTTATTTTTTTAATCGTTCTGAAAAGTGTCTTGTTGTTGCTGGTTCTAATATTATAAGAATATTTCGTTTAATTCCTGATGTGGATACAACGAAAAGAGAAAAATATATAGGTACAGATGTATTTATTTTATTTTTTTTTTTTTATTTCTATTACATAAAATTACAATTGTATTCACTATAAACATTGTTTTGTGATTGTGTATTTTGTTTTAACAGAGTCACGTTCTCCAAAAATGAAGCTAGAATGTTTAGCACAATATACTTTACACGGGAATGTAATGTCAATGCAAGCGGTACATTTAATTGGATCTCAACGGGATTCTCTCTTGTTGAGTTTCCGTGATGCAAAATTGTCAGTTGTTGAATACGATCAAGAAACTCATGATCTTAGAACAGTATCTTTGCATTATTTTGAAGAAGAAGAAATACGGGTAATAAAACAATTCTTATATCGTAAGAGGTTTACACGTTAAATGTCAAACTTCTCTTTCGTTTAATTTTTTTGTTTAGACCATCATAATAATTGTTGAAATACATTTTTGAACAAAAAGATTACTGACGATTACTAGTGATCAATGTGGCACTTAACGTGTTAAAAAAGAATAGAAATAAATAATTTTTAATTATTTGATTATACATGTAAGCGAATGATTAAATATTAGAATTTAAGAATAAAAATTATTTATTAGGATGGTTGGACAAATCATCACCATATACCAATTGTAAGAGTAGACCCTGAAGGTCGCTGTGCAGTGATGTTGATATATGGACGTAAATTAGTAGTACTACCATTCCGTAAGGATCCAAGTCTTGATGATGGAGATTTATTAGATACAGCTAAATTAACTACATCTAATAAAACGCCTATACTGTCGTCGTATATGATTGTATTAAAAAGTCTGGAAGAAAAAATGGACAATATTATAGATTTGCAATTTTTACACGGATACTACGAACCAACTTTGCTGATTCTTTATGAACCAGTAAGAACATTTTCAGGGTAAGTATTTATGAAAAAATCGATAATATTTTAATTAATGTACATGTATAATATATATTAATTTAAAATAATATTGTAAAATACTTATTTACACAGACGTATTGCGGTAAGACAAGACACTTGTGCAATGGTAGCAATATCATTAAATATTCAACAAAGAGTTCATCCTATTATATGGTCTGTTTCTAATTTACCATTTGATTGTTATCAAGCAGTACCAGTGAAAAAACCTCTTGGTGGAACATTAATAATGGCAGTAAATTCTTTAATTTATTTGAACCAAAGTATTCCACCATATGGGGTATCTCTTAATAGCTTAGCAGATACAAGTACAAATTTTCCTTTAAGTGAGTAGAATTTGTTTTAAAATAGCTCTGTGCAAATGTTAAAAACATATATTTATTTATTATATAATTTAATAATGAGTAGTTCAAAAAATTATTATTGAATAATTTCTTATTTTCTTAGAACCACAAGAAGGAGTTAAAATGAGTTTGGAAGGTGCCCAGGTTGCATTTATATCTCCAGATCGTTTGGTTATCTCTTTAAAAAGTGGAGAACTGTATGTACTGTCCTTGTTTGCAGATAGTATGCGTTCAGTACGCGGTTTTCATTTTGATAAAGCAGCTGCCAGTGTTTTAACATCATGTGTAAGTAATATTTGTATCAATTCATTTTTTTACATTTAAATAAAACATACATTTCATTCCATATCGATTATTAGGTATGCATGTGCGAAGATAACTATCTTTTCCTTGGCTCGCGTCTTGGTAATTCATTATTATTAAGGTTCACTGAAAAAGAACAAGAAAAAGAACAAAATCAGAATGATAATGATGTCATGGTTGAAGATAATGAAAGCGAAGAAACTCCAGCAAAAAAAATAAAACAAGATTTTCTTGGTGATTGGATGGCATCCGATGTATTAGATATCAAGGATCCAGAAGAATTAGAAGTTTATGGAAGTGAAACGCATACATCTATTCACATAACGTCTTATATCTTTGAGGTATATTTATTACTATTATTACTTTTAACGAAAGAATAATTTATTTGTTTATATTTTGATTATTATTTTGATTATTTCTGTACGATATTTCAAGGTATGCGATAGCTTGTTAAATATAGGACCTTGTGGAAATATATCTATGGGAGAGCCAGCATTTTTATCAGATGAATTTTCACATAATCAAGATCCTGATGTTGAATTAGTTACAACATCGGGATATGGGAAAAATGGTGCTCTTTGTGTTCTCCAAAGATCTATTCGACCTCAGGTAGTAACAACATTTGAATTACCTGGATGCGAGGATATGTGGACTGTCATTGGTAATCTAAATAATGATAATCAAACAAAAACTGAATCGGAAGGTTCTCATGCTTTTTTAATACTAAGTCAAGAAGATTCAACTATGGTATATATCTATGATTATAACAATAAATTGTATCTCATATTAAAAATATTATATATATATACTTAAATAATTAAATATGCAAATGGACAAATAGTTAGCGTTCGCGTGTATTTCTATCGTAAAATTGAGTTTNTATATATATGATACATTTCATGTAATAAATTTATAGATTCTACAAACTGGTCAAGAAATAAACGAAGTTGATCAAAGTGGATTCAGCACTCAGGGAAGTACAATTTATGCAGGAAATCTTGGTGCTAACAGATACATAGTTCAAGTTACGCAAATGGGAATTCGTCTTTTACAAGGAATTGAACAGGTATACATAATAATAATTTTAATTCTCGGTGCTATTGCTAAGAAAATTAACTTGATTTACTTTTGCTTGCTTTCCTCTCTCCATTTGCTATTTATACTTCTATTATTTATTCCTTTTCCTAGTTGTTAGATTGCACTTTATATTCTTTGGTTTCTAGTATAGTATTGCATCACTTTTTTCTTTTTTTCTTTAAATTTTTCAACGATCTCATCCTCCCAACAAATGTTAAATATGCATAGTATTTGTATACAATATTTTTTATGTTTATCTGCACTTTATGTTTTTTGTTTATTTATAATTACAGATACAACATATGCCCTTGGATCTTGGTTGTCCGATAGTTCATGCAAGTTGCGCAGATCCATATGTAACTATACTTTCAGAAGATGGTCAAGTTATGTTACTTACACTTAGAGAAGGAAGAGGTTTAGCAAGATTGCATGCACAAGCTGCTAATTTACTATTCGTAAGTATATATATATATATATATATAAATATCTATAAAAAATCGTAGAAAGTAATTATTTTTATTAAATTAACAGCGTCCGCAAATAGAAGCACTCTGCGCATATCGAGATGTAAGTGGAATATTCACAACACAATTATCTGAAAATTCGGATGATGATATACCAGAGGAAGAACATAATGTAGAGGAACCACCCATTGTTAGCAATATTGATAATGAAGATGACCTGTTATATGGTGATGCACCAGCTTTTCAGATGCCTGTACCACCTCATACTAAAAATACTGATGGAACGACCAAAAAAGCATTATGGTAAACCTCTTTATTATTATTTACAATGATATTACATTATTTTTCTATTGTCAATTGTTTATTCATATCATAATCATACAATTATGTACAGGTGGCAAAAACATTTACAAGAGATTAAGCCTACGTATTGGTTACTAGTATATAGAGATAACGGAACCTTAGAAATTTATTCTTTGCCAGACTTACGTTTATCCTATCTTATTCGTAATTTTGGTTACGGACAATATGTTTTACATGATAGTATGGAATCTACAACATTGCAAACTAATCCTGTCAATGAAATTCCTAATCCAGAAAATCAAGTAATACTTAAATTATATGCATTATTCTCAATTGCATTTGATAAACTTATAAATATTAATTTAAAATTTACTTACACAGGTACGTGAAATTTTGATGGTCGCTTTAGGCCACCATGGAAACAGACCAATGCTTTTAGTACGCTTAGATACTGAATTGCAAATTTATCAAACTTATAAATATCCCAAAGGACACTTAAAATTGCGATTTAGCAAATTACATCATGGTATTATACCAGGTCATTTAAGGTATACATACTTATTTATAAAGAAAATTTGTTTTATATATAATTTTATTATTTATTATATGAAAACCATTCTATTCAAATTTCAAAAGGCCAAAACCCAAAGAAGAAGATATGCCCAATATGAATCAAGCAAAAATTTCTATGATGCGATACTTTAGCAATATTGCTGGATATAACGGAGTATTCATTTGCGGTGATTATGCACATTGGATATTTCTTACTGGACGTGGTGAATTACGAACACATCCAATGAGCATAGATGGTCCTGTTACTTCTTTTGCACCATTTAATAACATCAACTGCCTTCAAGGTTTTTTATATTTCAATAGAAAGGTAAATTGTCCGAAAATGCAATACAGTGGACGATTGATTAACAAACACAATTCATTCAAAGACGATGTTCGCAGTCCAAACTTTTGTTAATAGATCGCCCACTTTGTTCACAACTTTTTTTTTAATTAAAAAATTATATATATATATTTATAATTTTTTATTAGGAAGAATTAAGGATATGCGTTCTACCGACACATTTATCATACGATGCACCGTGGCCTGTTAGAAAAGTACCTTTGCGATGTACTCCACACTTTGTGACATATCATCTCGAGAGTAAAACTTATTGTGTTATAACGAGTACAGCAGAACCACTTAAAAGTTATTACAGATTTAATGGCGAAGATAAGGTATTATTAATATTATTAAACAAAATTCTTTTATATATGATACAATAGAATGTTATCACAAGTATCTGTTTATAGGAATTCACAGAGGAAGAAAGACCTGATAGATTTCTTTTCCCGTCACAAGAATTATTTAGTATTGTTTTATTTTCTCCAGTTTCTTGGGAAACTATACCAAATACTAAAATTGAATTAGATCAATGGGAACACGTGACATGTTTAAAAAATGTGTCTTTAGCGTACGAGGGAACAAGATCTGGATTAAAGGGTTACATCGTATTAGGAACAAACTACAATTATGGTGAAGATATTACGAGTAGAGGACGTGTAAGTGAAAATAAAATGACTAATATTGTTATCTATCTCTCAATATTTATACAATATGTTTCTATATTTTTGTTTTATAGATTCTTATATTTGACATTATAGAAGTAGTACCAGAACCCGGACAGCCATTAACAAAAAATAGGTTTAAACAGATTTATGCAAAGGAACAGAAAGGTCCTATAACTGCTATTACTCAAGTATCAGGATTTCTAGTTTCGGCAGTGGGACAAAAGGTTTTGTTATTATAAAATTAATTATGTAAATAATTATTATGTTAATAATAATTCTTAATTTTCGAAGAGTATGTATATATATATATGATATTTAAATATAAAATGATATAAATTTTTCAGATCTACATTTGGCAATTAAAAGATAACGATCTTGTAGGCGTAGCTTTTATAGATACTCAAATTTATATACATCAAATGTTGAGTATTAAAAGTTTAATTTTAGTCGCTGATGTGTACAAATCAATTAGTTTGTTAAGATTTCAAGAAGAATATAGAACACTTTCCCTTGTTAGTAGAGTAAGTATATATTATAAAGTATAATTTGACATTGATATTATAAATATAATACTCCTTACGCGTGAGATTTATCAAATAATATTTTATTTCAGGATTTTCGTCCAGCAGAAGTCTATACGATAGAATATTTAATTGATAATAACAATTTAGGTTTTATAGTAGCTGATGGAGAAAGTAATTTAGCTCTGTTTATGTATCAACCAGAGTCAAGGGAAAGTCTTGGTGGACAAAAATTGATTAGAAAAGCTGACTTCCATTTGGGACAAAAAGTAAATACATTCTTTCGAATTAAATGTAGAGTTACTGATCCTGCGAATGAAAAGAAATATTTTTCTGGAGCAGATAAAAGGCACGTTACCATGTACGGTAAGTTGATTTTTATTTTATTTTTTTATTATTTTCCTTTTTAAATATGCGAATAAAGAAGTATATTAAAAAATAAATTTTAGCATCCCTGGATGGTAGTCTTGGTTATATTCTTCCAGTTCCAGAAAAAACATATCGTAGATTACTTATGCTTCAAAATGTGTTGGTCACACACATATGTCATATCGCGGGTCTAAATCCTAAAGCATATCGGTAAGTCATTAAATATAACGAGTACAATGAATTAACTTCAAAGTAACATTAATTATATTTACATTACATATTTAATTATAATTTTTATTAAAAATTTTAGAACATATAAAAGTTATATAAGAACGCAAGGTAATCCAGCCAGAGGTATCATTGACGGAGATTTGGTTTGGAGTTATCTCAATTTACCTAATAATGAAAAAATGGATGTAGCCAAAAAAATTGGAACGCGAGTTCAAGAAATAATAGAAGATATTACAGAAATTGATCGCCAAACAGCACATTTTTAAAAAATAATAACCGTTTTATATATTTTTTTAATAAATACAGTACAACGTTGCTTCGAACTAATTTTCGTATTAGTTTTTAAATAAATGCAAGTCAAGAGACAAGTGAAAAGTGAATTACAGATTCCGAATACATTTAACACATTTGTTAATAATCATTTTTATCGCACATGCACATGTATGTAATACATATAATTATTAATTAGTAAAATATGTTTTTTTATGTGGCAATTGTTTTATGTGATATATTTATTTTTCTTCCAATAGATAAAAATGTTTTTTCTTAGTATAAAATAAATTTACATTTTTATACTAAAATGATCTTTAACATCTCATATAAAAAACATTCCATGTAAATTTATCACAATTAACAATATGTTTGATACGGAAGGTGCTTTTGAATTAGTGGATCGATTATCTATACAAAAAAACATTAGTGAAAGAAGAATAAGCAGACGTGAGAGTTTAAAATGTATGTAAATTTTCATAAATATAATATGTATATAAATGTAAGATATATATATATATATATAAAGTTATTTTTATATCAATAAAAAAAACATGTATATAACATTTAATGAGTCAGATGTGGGTATTGATCAAACAATGATACGTTAAGCGTCTGTAGAGGTAATAGTAAAGAATTTATATAATATTGTAGGCTTCAATCGAAATAGTAAGTATTTTTTTGTAATTCCACATTTTAATTGAATCCTGTTCAATCATAAGAATTCATTGATAAAAGAAATTGGAAAATGTTTGTTGTTAACGTGAAAATGATTAGTATTCGCATTTTATACATTTAGTGCCTGACGAACCAACATTATTAGAAAAAAGGCTGTGCGAAGCATTTGATGTATTTGATAATGCAAGAAATAATGAAGTGGATGTTAGAGATTTGGGTACCATAATAAGAGCATTAGGTAACTAACATGATATTTGTATATATATTAAAAGAAAAAAAATATTAATAATCTTATTTGTTCTCCTAGGATGTGTTATTACAGAAGCAGAACTACAAGAAATACAAGTCCAAATAGAAGATGTTGAAAATAATTGTGTGCCATTGAAAAAATTTGTTGAATATATGCACAAAGCGATTAACGAGCGCAAGTAAGTAATTATGTAATTATATACTTAATAATTTTGTATATAGATATTTTTTTTAGATTTAAACCTGCAGAACCTGAAGATCTATTAAAAGCATTTCAGTTACTAGATCCTGATAATCGTGGTTATATTATGAAAGATGAATTAGAAAAAACTCTGATGGAAATCGGAGAACCTTTTACTAAAGATGAAATAGCGGATATGATGTCAGTTGCTTGTGATTCAGCAACAAAAAGAATTTATTATGAACACTATATCAATTTACTGATTGTATGTATGATTATGTTAATTTTATTAATTTTATTAATTTAATATTTTTATTACAAATTGTAATCGAATAATTGTCATATTTGTATTACTGAGAGATACATGATTTCTTTTACATGAAATATTTAAAGGTACATATCTTTGCAATAAATTCGTATATTAAGAATTTAATTGTCTATTAGGTAAAAATTCCTAAAAATGAAAATTTATATTCTATTGTCGATCAAATTGACGAATTAGAATCTATGCCTAAAAAACGTCGATTAGAGAGTCTTCTTATGGAAGCTGAAGCAAGAGAAGCTAATAAATAATAAAAGTCAATTTTATGTTCGAAATCTTGAAAAATCTCATAATAATTGGATTTTAATACTAATTAAATTGCTATTGTAATAATAAATATGAAAATACAATCTCTTAGTATTAATAAAAATAGAATATGATTGTTTATAATATAAAATATTTCATATCAATATAAAGGTATATGAAAATATAAACATATCTAAAATACTTACAAATATTTGATAACAATTAACTTTTTGCATTCACAGATACTGATAAGGCAAATAGTTTGTGGACTTAAAATTATATAATAAAAAAGTTTTATATGTACAAAATATTATAGTTTTGAAAATGTTGGTGGGTCACCGCGTACCATCTGTGCAGTTGTTGCATTTATGAAATCTTCGCTTTGCAACATTGATTTATTATGCATAGCCTGTTTAAACAAATATCAAGTTAATCAGAATAAAATTACAATGAATTGACCTACTTAATTAAAAATTTAATACAATTAATCGATTTACTTTCAGGTGGAATAAAAAACTTACAATATGTTCGAGACCTTCTTGAACAGAATGATCCCTCGAATATACCAAACTTAATTTGGAACCTTGTATCGCGACAGGACTTTTACTTGCTATTTCTTCAGCAAATTCTATCGATTTATCTAACAAACTATATTCAAATAAATGGAATTATTATTGCTGTATAAGTTCCAAATATATTTTCAATAATTACCTTTCTTGACTATCATACACACGATTGACAAAACCACATTGCAATGCCTCTGTTGCTGGAAATTTTCTTGCTGTGTAAACAAGTTCTCTGACTAAACTGTCAGAACCTATTATTTTTGGAAACCTTTGCAATGTACCAACATCAGCTGCCATTCCAATATCAACTTCTTTTATTTGAAACCATGCATCTGAAGAACAATAACGTATATCAGCAGCGCTAATCATATCTACTCCTGAACCTATGCAGGCATTATGCACAGCTGCGATCACTGGTTTTACGCACTAAGAAAAATAATAAACATAATTAATTGAATAACTGTAATAAATATTCTAGTCAATATAGAATACCTTTTCAATAGAAGTAATAGTATCTTGATATTTGGTTATCATAGATTCTAAAAGTTTGCATTTTCTAGCAATATCTTCTTGTTCCGCTACTTTTTGGTAAAATTCTAGATTACCTTGTAAATCTAAGCCTATATCAAATATAATATTTACGTCATATATATTTACATTAAGAAATGTTTATTTATGTAATTAAAAAAACAAAGAGAAATAGAATACCAGCGCAAAACATTTGTCCAATGGCTGATAAAATAATAACTCTACATTCTGGCTCCACCGATAAGTCATTGAAGCATTCCTTAATTTCTCTGCATATGAGAAGAGAGAAATATAAGTAAATAAATATAATATTTAAAAAATATAATAGATAATATCCAAAGTGTCTTTTAACTAATTGTATAAGCAAACAGGGTTGATTCTATATGAAAAACTAAATCAGAAATGTACAATAAAATTTGTTTGTATAAGTCTTTGTTTTTGGAGAGAAATAAGTTTTAAGATACTCTTTTATATATGTATAAATAATTACGTACTCCCACATTTTTTGATTCATGGCATTTCGTTTCTCAGGTCTATTTAATTGTACCATGCAAACAAATGGTTTTGGTATTGATACAGACAAAGTTTCATATTTATTAGCCTTCATCGTATTATTTTTCAAAACAGCACTAGTTCTGAACTCTAAAAACAAACAATAATATACATACTAAATACATATATACACAAATTATTGATCCAATATTGCAAATATTTGCTATAATAAATATTGTGTTTACATATTTGTAGAAATAAGTCAACTAAACTATTGTATAATCAAAAGCTTAAATTTCTTACGTTTGCTTGTAATATTAAAAAGAGATTTTCTCAATATGTAACTAAACATTATAATTAAATATTATAAATAAATTCAATAAGAAATATATATATATGTAATAAAAATACTAGTACTTTGTACTGTGGTATGAAGGTCAACGTTCATTGGTTAGTATAATACATAAATGTCCAAGTGATTAGAATATACTACAAATGACTTTTTAATTATTTTTTACATGAAAAATATTATATCCTCTATTATTTAATTAAATAATATCAATAAATACATGTATCTATTATTTTAAAAATAATCATGATTTACCATATTCCTAAAAAGTTATACAATTTTGTATAGGTTCATTCTAGTCATATTCTTACAACTAGAATACATGAAATGAATTTTATAACGTAAAGAAACTATTTAAAATAAAAAATGTATATTTTACATATCTTTGTTCTATAAATAAGAATTTTTTATTTCTAATAATTAGTGTTAATTTACAATAAAATAAATCTAAACAGAATTGTAATACATAATGAAATAAAAAATATATATTTCATTAATCGTAAATATTGATTTTTATACATTAAAAATGTATTATATTTTTTTAAACAATTTAAATATTATTACTTATAAGTAATAAATAAATATAAAGTAGAAAGAGGAGAGAGTAATAGATGTAATATTATTTCGATTTTTAAAATTGCGTCATTCTATTTTTATAGAACAGAGGATGTGAAACTTAACCCTTGTCATAAATTTGAATTGCATCGGTGGTCATTGAGTAGCGTGGCGAAAAGCAGTGAGAAATGACAATATAGAAAGTTACAATTTATGTATGCATTTAAGTAAACAAAATTATTTTTCTGTAAGAATCATTTTTAAAGAGAGTGAAAGAGAAAGAGAGAAATAATTGAAAAAATGTCCTTTCAAAATATTCACATGAGAGATTGAAATCGCTTCTTTTTAACATCTTTACTTCCCTAAGTTTTTCCATAAATAAATATATTTATATGTGGACTTATATGATAGATAAAGTTAGGTTAAACGAGAGAAGATTATTTATATAAATAATTACTTGTTTATAGTAATCTATGTATATTTGTACACATATAATGCAAGTGATTTAATTAGTATAAATAATACATCACATATGTATATTAAAAATATTTTTTATTTTTTTTAACATTGGCTATATTTATTACTTTAATTATTTTTTATTTCTTTTGCAGATGTTAACTGTGATAAAATTCATCTAATAAAAAATTTGTGGATAAGTAAATATGATATCCTCGTGGTGCTATTTTGTTGTATCTGTTGCCTTATTAATTGGATTTCTTCGAAAATGTCGTGAATGTACTTGGGGAAGATGTAAGAATACGAGTAGTTTAGAAGGTAGAGTTTTTATTGTAACAGGAGCTAATTCTGGTATTGGTAAGGAGACTGTAAAAGAATTAGCTAAAAGAAAAGCTACAGTTGTTATGGCTTGTCGAAACATGCAAAATGCTAAAAATGTTATTTCTGAGATACGTCATCAAACTCCTAATGGTGAACTGGTAAGCTGTTTATTCAGAGTTTATAAAGAAATTTGTATTCTATTTATCAATATAAGAAGTTTTGGTTTAATGTTTTGTAGAAGCTTGAGATTATCTATTAATCTTATTAATAAATTTATAGTTTCCGATGGAATTAGATCTTGCATCACTTTCATCAATCAGAGAATTTGCAGCCCAAGTTTTAAAAATTTTTCCTGAAATTCATGTATTAATTAATAACGCTGGAGTATACAGACCTCTTAGGGATCATGCGTTTACTGAAGATGGATTTGAAATTCACTTTGGTGTTAATTATCTTGGACATTTCTTATTAACCAACTTACTTATAGAACGTCTTAAAGAAAGTGCACCTAGCAGGTTGGTTAAGAATCATTTGACAAAAATTAATATGAATTTCTAAATGGTACATATTTTGCTTAATTACAGAGTAGTAATTATAACTTCTAAACTTCTGGAATCAGGTGTTATTGATTTTTCTAATTTAAATGGTGAAAAGCGTATAACGACTAAAAGACGTATGAATCCAGGTTATTGTAACTCTAAATTAGCGAATGTGTATTTCGGCATAGAACTTGCTAAGAGAATGAAAGATTACAACGTTAACGTTTATATGGTTTGTCCTGGATTTGCTTACACAGGATTATTCAGAAATGTTAAACGAAGTCGATTTCATTATATTTTGTTCTTGCCAATCGCTTTATTATTCCTAAGAACTGCAAATCAGGTAATATAATACTTTTAATAAGTGCAATTATCTATATAATATATACTTTTCTTAATTATAAATTTATTAATTAGATAAATTATTTTCTATAGGGAGCGCAGACTGGGTTACATTGTGCCATTGAACCTTCCTTAGCCGATGAAAGTGGACATATTTATCGAAACTGCGAACTTTATAAATGTGATAAGGAATTCGATCCCGAAGTAGCGCTTCAATTATGGGAAGTAAGCGAAAAATTGACTGCTGCCAAAGAGACTGCTAAATAAGTCATTTTGTCTGATTCGCATCATTTTACTGTAAATGATTTGGCCCATTCAAAGTTTATTTTTGTATATAAATAAGTACTGTAATAGAGGTGGTATATATTTTTATTACCACTATTCTTTTTAATGAAAGAAAAGAAACCCATGTTTATTTATAATTTTATGAATTTTTACATTATTGCCGATTCAGTGAGTTAATAAATAAATTAAATATGCGCAATAATAATTCCAACAGAATATTATAATATTCTGTATAGCGTAGCCAACTAAACTTAAATAGTTTAAAGAACAAATAGAATGTTACGAATAAAAGTCTTCAAGAATATTTACGAAATTTTTTCACTGGCATAAGTAGCACGCATAGAAAAAGAATAAGAAGAAATAATCTTTTTCCAACTATAGTATACAATAACTGTAATTAAATAATGTCGCGTGAGATTATTAAAATGCAAAACGTATTTTTGGAAATACAAGTAGATTAAAATATAAAGTATAATACTGTTATATTTTAAGATATCTCAGCAAAACATAAAAATTGTAGTGTAAATAATAAGTCACAGATATATTGTGTGCAATCTTGCTTTAATTTTATATTTTTCTTTTTATATATTGCGTAGCATTCGTGATAAGTATAATGAAAAGAAAAGAATAATAATGAAATAACTTCATAGATATAACATTTGCGACGTTTGATTGTTGTTCGAAATTGACAAAAAATAAAGACGAAACTATGATATATTATTATCTTAATTAAGAAAGATTAAATATAACGAAAAATCTTTTTAACCATCTTAATAAATTCAAATATACATGTAATATTTATCTAATAAATTATAATCACACTCGGTAAATGCGTTTGAACTTTGGTTGGTCCTCTTATATAGATTTATATCCAATCTTTAAATAATCTTAAACATTAAAACAAATCTAGATTTTTATATATTATGTTTTACATTGTAAGCACAAACTCGACCCAGCCGAAAGCTAAAAGTGAAATAATATTTTTCAATTTTGTTTTGAAATATACACGATGTTATATCTGCTTAATAAAATATAGTCATTTAAAAGATAATAGATAAAATATAAATCACAAATACTATGTATATATTATACAATTAAGCAAGCTATAGAACATTATTAAAGATAGAAAAAATGATATCGAGATATTATAAATAGAATCACATAATCTTTACTTTTACTTTTTCTTTCGTCTACGATTCTCAATGCAATTATGCAACTTCTATGAAAAATTACTACGATTATATTTATCGTTTTATGATATAAATTTGTATTCGAATGTATATTTACGACGCGATTACACTTTTAAGAAAATAATATTTATAAAACAATGTAACCCTTCCTTCCTTCCCCATCATTTACTATTTTTCTTTTTGCAACAATAATAAAGATAAATTCGATCAAAGTTACATACTTCGATCCTAACACATATTCTTCTTCTATATGTACTGAGAATAACTCTTTCAAATTTTTTTTTTACAAGATTTACTCGCATATACAATAACTTTATATTTTAGTTAATAAATATTACAGCCGTGGTTTCATAACTTTGAAGCTAGTTTTCTTATTAGCTAAGGCTTCAGTACGTGCATAGACATTTTCTGAACTGCGTCTAATAATATCTATATAATCGCTTGATGCTTGAAATTCGCACTGATTAATTTTTTCTTCGACCATACAGTTATAGTCGGTGACGGTATTGTCGCTTTTTTGTGTCGACATTATTGAATCTTTATTTAACTGAAAATTATAAACGTAACATATACAGCGATTGTATATATTAGATATATAGATTAGAGATAAACGAACGTTATTGATAATTACCACCGCGTTATGTTTAATAAAGATATCCTCTTCATTTTCTTCAGACCAGTGTTCACTTTGTTGTCCTACTTCTTCATTCGGCCTGAAACGAGTAAAAAAATAATGTTCCTTCGCGATATTGTAGCAATAAAAAAATTAATCGTTTTTAAAATATTCATTTACCGAATCAACTCACCTTAGTTGAGAAGAAAATTGTTTATCTAATACTTTGTTGTTAGATATATGACACTTTTCCGTATAACTACAAATAGAATTTGTTCTTTCGTTCTTTTCAGTTTCATCATAAGTACATCTTATTATATCGTCTAGAGACAAGCAAGATTTAGCATTACGTTCTTTAGACGAATTAATCGTGAAGGGTTCTGTTTGTTCTAAAACGTCAAAATTGTAATCATTTTTGACGTTATAATGCATACAATAATTTTGTGAAGTATTATCTAAATGTGACGTATTGGTATGTTCTCCGTTTTTCATTGTATCCTCCACGTTATCTTTAATGTTTTTTACGTTGTCATGATTCATTGAAATATTTTGTTCGGTCTCTTCTCTTTTGATCGCACTTTTTTCATTCGGGCTTTCGTCTCCATCATTTTGACTACCACTTAAGGCCATTTCACAACTACTTATGGAATTAGAACTTCTATCCCTAATACTGACAGAACCTTCTAAACTATCAGTAACATTTGCTGATTTAGACACAGATGTAGGTATTGTTATTTCAATATTATTGTCAATCGTAACGCAATCATTATTTTGAAGAAAATCATCACTTACATTTGTAGTGATAGTATTATTCAGTACAGTACAATTTAATGTTTCGTTACTGCTAGTGCTAGATCTGTTTCTAGCTAACATTAATGTTCTGTCGTCTATGGCACTTTCTTCCGATTTGCAAATTCGTTTAGATTGACTACCTAAAACAAGAGGCTGTACAGGTTTGTCTAGACCTTGATCTAAAGAAGATCCCAGGGAAGATTTAATTGATTTTAATTGGCCCATCGATCGTGACGATCTGTGGCATTTCTCAAAAATAATTTTCTGTATTGGCGGTGTAAGAGGAACATTCTGTTTACCATTACCTACTTCTGTATCTAACGATGAAGTAGAAAATGTTCTTTTCGAATTATCCAAACTGTAAGGGAATTAATTACTTTCTCTTTAAAACACATTAATAGATTTGTCATAATATATGAACTACTACAAACATACTTACTGTGATTGGTTTGGCTTCATTTTTAACAAGGTCGATAAATTTGATAACGTGGCTCTTAAATCGGTAGTAGGAAGACCACAATACCAACGTAATTGAGCTATGTTTTTATTTAATAGATAAACAGCGTAGTGAAATTGCAATCTATCTTTACCTTTGGCAAATAATGGAAATCTATAAAAATATTTTTACAGGATATTTTATTCTCATTAAGAATTTATTATAGAGAAAAATATAGGAAATACTTACTGCCTATCATTATCAGGAAGGTTTTCTATAATGTGATCTATAATTTTACTACGAGAGCCATAATGTATGATAGGATATCTAGTAGGTATATTGAGAAAATTTGCAATCATTTGTGTTGTATGTGTTACAAAGCCCAATGCCACGGCTACTTGAGTATCATTTGCCAATTCCAAATCTTCGCTATCTGGTAAATGTATGTCATGTATTGTGAATTTTCCATTGCTATCCTAAATAATAATATTTGAAATAAATTAAGCTATTACCAGTATGAAATATATTAATTTAAAGACTATATACTGATCGTATAAATTGTTATACCTGTTTAATGGGATAAATTAAACTTAGTTCTGAAATTAATTGACGTCGACGATGAGCCAATTGACTGCTCATTTGAATGTAAGTTTCTCTGGTATCAATATGACTTTGACGCCATTCATGCAATCTTTCAATATCTTTGTTAAGTTCTCTATATCTTTCCATCAAATCGGAACCTGCATACAATTAAATTAATTACAAAATTACATTTGTATGTATTAAGTTGATAAGACTAAAATTCAAAACGTACCATGATCTTGATTTTCTTCTGAAATAGTAGTATGTAGTTGGTTTAGTACTCTTAATTCTCCCATTTTCCTTGCCCTTTCCTGTTCTAATAGCTTTGTTCGAAATTTGGCCATTTCTAATTCCTTACGTATTTTAAGTATTTCAGCTTTTTTTTCTCTATTAACTGTACGAGGTTGAAATAATCTATTCAAAGAAGATTGAGGATATTTTGGTGTTTGAAAATTATCACCAGAGGCAATGCGCATTCTTAAAGCTTCCACCGAATTGGTCTGTTGTTTAAGCGCTTGCATCTTGCTTCTCAAGCTAGTCAATTTATTGACAGTATAACTGTCTTTTACTTCACTTGCGTTAATGCTTATACGGAGATATCTTTTCAACTCTGGTGTTGTTATGAAACAATATGCAGGTGTAAAAAAGCCGCCATTGAAGTAAAAAATTATAGAATTTTCTTTAAGAATTTTTTCCAAGTTGCTGGGTAATTTAGGACCGATATATGCAAGGCCAGTAAAAGAAATACCCCATGTAAATACAGTTATATCTGATGTATTACTACCCACAGCCGTTCTTTTCCATAGCCTTAAGATTATTTCTATTTGTAAAAAAAGAAAGCAAATGTATATAATATTTATCACTTATTCTATTTCATGGAATAAATTGAAACAAACTAATGAATAATTTAAGAGTACCATTGCGATAAAAATAATAACTAATGATATTGTAGGACTTGAAAGTTTTCTTTTAATGAATAGTGTAACAGTACAGTGACTTTTAGAAAACTGTTCGTTTTTTGAGTAAAAGACGACTCAATCCTTGTCATGCCCAGTCAAAGAATGTTAAACTAAGTATCAATGCCCTTTGTTTAAGTTTTTTAAAAATGTATTATGATGTATCTAGGTGATATGTATTATGTATATATTTCGTATCGATTTTTTATTTTAAATAAATATAATAATCCTACAATATCATTTAAAGTAGAAAATTGCGTTTAAGTTACTAACAGATTGTTAAGCTCACCACTGGCAGATGAATAACCTGTGGCATGTAAAGTAGGTACTTCCAGGCTAGACCATCTAGGATTGGCATTATCTATTAATTCGCTTGTATATATCGGCGATGACATAGTTGTTCTATGTAAAGTATAATAAAACCAACTGATCTCGCTATTTACATTTGCCCTCAATTTATATCCAATTATTTGGATCAAACTCCTAAGTCTCAACTAAAACAAATATTCCATGCAAGAAAATATATTATTTACATAAGAAATTAATTATGAGAGCGCACCAAATGTTATTATTCAAAATATATGTATAAATATACATATACATAGCATAAGTATAGACATTAAATTAATCTACTAATACATATAATAAAAACTATATATATATATATATATATATATATATATATAATGTATCGTAAAAATAACAAAATAACAAAATAACATAGACAATAAATAGAATAAATTACCTGCTGCGTAGCAAGGGGTAGCCAAGTTTTATAACGTGGTGCGATACGGGGTTGAAGAGTCAAATCTAAATCTCTAACGAGGTTTCGCGTCTCGGAAACCTCCATTATTTGCTTTCATAGTAAAATACACATAATATCATTAAAAATACATGAAACATTTCTTAAACATGATATTATTAATGGGTAATCGACAGGATAGTAACTTTAATAGATAGCCAGGTTATTCGTATCGGTTAACGCACTCCTATATGTAATACTGTACATAACGACCGTATCATCTTCATTATTTCGTCTTTTGATCTACCATCAAATAATAATGTGATTCTCTCTTGTCATATATAAATATGTAACATTCATATATATATGTATATATAAATATCATATATATATATATGTATATATATATATGATAGTAAGGATATACTTTATTCCTATGTGTAATCAAATAACGTCATTCGACACTTCTGACAGTTCTTCACATTGATACCTATCATTCTTAAAATTTTATACCTTCTCTTACCACCAAGAGTTTTCAAAAAACACTATATAATTCCTAGTTATTTTTGTTACCAGCATTGACTTCGTCTCGACTGGACATTTTTATCTATTGGACAGTTAATCAAATGTACCAACTGGTATTGACCAATCATTTTTGAGTATATCATCGAAATATTATATTTTAAAAACGTTCTACATCATTCGTTAATTTTTTTTTTTTAATATATAATGAAAATAAATTTCATGGAAAATGTGTGTGAATGACTAGTTTTAGATTTAGGTATATACAATTTTTGTAGTTTATATTTAAAATATTGGAAAAGACAACATAACCGTGAATAATCTATCCTTAATCTATTTTTGAACGTTACAGCCAATACACGGAGATTACTCCATCCTTTACTATACTGTATTGTCGTCTACCGAGCGTATATACTTTAGCTAGTACAAAATGGTCGACGTGCCTTCGGTGTAGGAAATTATTTTCCATTACAATATTTTATTATTTTATAAAGTACTAAGGCAGGATAAAGCATATTCGATACTAATGGATTTATAAAAAATTATTACATTTTCGGTACGTATTTGTTGATTCTATTATTATAGTTAAAAGTTAAACTATGTACACCTGTCAATACGGCTTCCTTTGGTAACAAAGTGTGTACGTAAGACACCTTTTAGTTGTGTAAATTAAATGCTCTTACGATTAACAATGCTTTCTTCTTTAACATCGTTAATTTTTAATAAAATTAATTTATTTCTCATTTTAATGATAAAAATCATATTTTATATTTTTCTAAAATTTGATTTACGCAATTATGCTTGTATTAATATTATTACCACTGATATGCAATTCGTAGAAAAAAATATTAAATACTTTTACAATATTTCAGATCATCAACATAAAAAAATCAGACATTTCTCAAAACATTGTTGAAGCAAGAAGACAAGGAAATAAAAAATAAAAAAAAATAAAGAAACATGGAGAAACGGCAGGAGGTACTAGCTCCATTTTCATCCGGTAAGTTAATATTATTCTTATTATTATTGCAGTTTTACTGTATTTTTAGATTTACATGCTTGTCCTATGTAATAAAATAATATATGTACATATATATATACATATATAAATATACACACATCTATATCTATATACATTATTTCTTTCATTTAGTAACAAAACTTTTTTATCGCACTAACCAAATAAAACAAAACAAAAAATATAACTCTTGCTTGCCCAAATAATAATGCCTTTTTTCTTCTTATTCCTTTTCTTTTCGTAACACATTTTATTAAACGTGTAAGTTCTATGAACAAATGTAAACAATTTTAAACACTATATATGCATTTTTATGCACGTATATGTTATATCTTTAATTCTATTAACCGAACAATATATTCTCTGCAAAATATTTTCAATTATATTATGGTATTTATTTTATTATGTTTATATTAACAAACCAAAACAAGTTACATATATTCTAGTATTCACGATTTGTATAAAAGTGATTGGCAAATTATAAGATTAAAAAGATAAGTAAAATAAATTTTTTAATTATATTTTTAAAAAAGAAATAAAGTCAAAATTCTATACTTGAATCATATTATCAAAATCTAGTCGCTATATCAAAAAATAAGATACAAAATCGAATAACACGCGATGTTAAATTATTTAAAATATTTTAAAAGTCTCTATACAACTTTAATCGCTGTAATCGACTATGAAATACTACCAATAATAATAATAATAATAATAATTTTTCAATACGTAAAACTAGACGTATAAAACTACTTGGTTATTTCATTGGTCGTAGATCACGTGATTGCGAAATAAATTTCTACCAATAATAATCGCGCTAATATTCATATTGCAATAAAGAAAGGCGGTAAAATTAAATATTCGAACAAAAATATATTGAAATTTTAAATACAATCTATTTACATATATAATATCGTTACGACATAGAAATAATATCATTCTAACTTTGTAATCTAAACAATGAAAAAAGATATATAAAATCAATGGCATGATAGTGACAACGTTATAACGTGACATTTATTAAATGCGTTATTTGATTCTTCTATTAAGATACTAAGAAGTTACATGCTTATCATTAGATGTTACAATCAATGACATAAAAGAAATAATAATTATAGTAACGTTAGAAATAAATGTTAGATTTTAAAACATATATCGTGCATCGATAATGTTATATCGAAAATTTGAATCGATTTACTATCGTGCGCCAATAATTTCAAATAAATATATGAGATAGTCGAGATAGTATTACGTATATAGTACATAGTAGTATATACATGTAATAATGAGGGGTGGGTGGGTGTGATAAAAGAGGGAGTAGAAGTCTGTAGGGTGTTGTAGACTGTGAAGTATAATGTGAATTGGAGGTTCGAAAGAAGGAAAAAGAGGATGTAGGAAAGATGGAGATGAAAAGGTAGAGAAAGAAGGGTGAGTTGTTGGAGAATGGATGAGGAGGAGAAAGGAAAGAAGGCAGTGAAATGGCAATGAAAGAGAAAGAGAAAGATAGATAGAATCATCACGGTCTGGGCCAATTATTGGCTAAAAGCATGAAAAGAAAAAATATACTTTAGATTTTCTACAACTATTACATTTAAATATTGGAAAATGTTAAATCTTTAAAGATGTCATACGGGGTGTGATATAAAAATATATTTCTATGAAAGCGTATAGATGAATATGATATATATACATATATGATGTGTATGTACGTGCATGTGTGTGTAAAAATATAATATGTACGTATGACCGTATACGTCAGGTGGTGTGTCACGTGTGTGGGTAGATTTTGGAGAAGGAGGAAGAGAATGAGGTGGAGTAGGAGGAAGAAGGGAGAAGACAAGTCGCATTTGGTGGGCGGAGAGGTAGAAGTTCCGAAGGTCGGCGGGTGGTGATGGGGTGACGGTGGTGGTTTGACTTTAAAGGTGGGGGTAGCGCACACGATGGATCAATTCAGTTTGCGCTTGGGAGCAGCGCTACGGGGAAAAGCAACAGTCTGTCTACCCCCTGCTACCCGGAAAAGTGCTGCTGCTGATTCTCGAGACACTCTCTGTGAACGAGTGTGTGTATGTGTTAGTGTAGTAGCAGTACATGCACCACCGTTCTTATTTACACGAAAGAATAACAATAAGTTGCAATAACTTAAAATCGGTGTGATTTAAACGAAACATATTTAGTCGAAAATTATTCTATTGTCAAGTTAATTAAGAAGAGAAAAATATTTGTTTTTATTCGTTTATAAGAAAATAAAGTATAATGAGATAAATAGTGAGAAAAGAGTCAAAACTGCAGGGAGGAAACGTGACCGTAGTACGATTTACCCTTTTTGTGTCTATCTGTCTTTTTCTATCTTTCTTTTTACTTCCTGATTTAAAAAAGAACACCTGCCGTTAATATAAGATACTAGAAGAATTAAACGTTTATCGATGAGCTCCCGCGTTCTTCTAGATATACAAGTATAGATTTAATATTTTTTTCTTTCCTTTCCACACGTAATCCTTATCTTTATCACGATGTCACCGTTCGTGTAGTACTTGACGTTTCACGAATCATGTATAGACGAGCTCATACATACGTTGATATATACGTACGATCAGTAATATTATACTGCAAAAAAACGAAGTAGAAATTATTCATTGGTATAACCGTATTGTTTAATTTTAATTATTTTTGTGGTTTCCTTTTTTCTTTTTTTGTGAAAATGTAGATTAAAAAGATCGGATAAAATCGAATTATTCGTCTATGTAATTTTTCTTTTGTAACATCCGATGCAGTAGGAACAGTACCTAGCGCGGAATAATTTGACCTAATTTCTATTGAATATGGTTCATAGTGCCGTCGCGCGACACAAAGATCGGGAGACTGGCTCGATTGTCGGTAGATGTTTCTGTTTGTTCTTCTTGCAGTCAATAGGCGCGAGGACGTTCGTTCCAGTATCGGTTTTTACTCTATGTCGCGATATGGTTCCTAAAGTGTGTCGTTCGACGATACATACGACTTTCATTCTTTGTATTATACTACACTGTATCATGTCATTTCATTCTTTTTCTCTCTTTTCTTCTTCTTTTTCTTCTCTGGATCTGCTTATTATTTACCTTATTTAATTACAGAAAAATATTGAAATAATGAAAATGGATTAGGACAAATTAGATAGATCAATGTAAATGATACATATGTATTGTCAATTTCATATTTTAGAAGTATACGTTAATCAATATTAATATTTTTTTATAGATGAATGTCCCAATAGTGGAGAGGATAGCGAAGAGGATGTAATAACAGATTACCTTGGATCATCGCATTCCGACTGCGACCGTGTGCCTACTATTAATGGAGATATTGGTGGTCTGAGTCTACATGGAAACATAGTCGCAGAGGCAGGTTATACCGAAGATAATACCAACAAAACAATCACCATGTCTGGAGGAAATTCTGTACAACAACAGCAACATCCGTTGCTTACGCTTGGTACTAACATTCAAACTCAGCCTAATCCTCTTGTACCCATTATTAGTGTTACACCTCATTCTCCTGGTCTTGCTAAGAACTATCCTGTCTTAGGTAAATATTTTTATTTAGATTTCACGTTTTAAGTAATAAGAATTATTCCATCCGTCTCTTTATCTATAATTTTCAAAACATTACTTTCTTCTTTTCTTTTTGTATATTTTACAGAGGACAATTTGCAACATTTGCATGAAATTCAAGACCAGATTCAACGCATGAAAGATTTGTCGATAAACACTTTGGGATACAATAATCGCATGACCTCTTCGTGTCCTTCTTTATGTCCGTGGATATTTGCAGAGGGTGGATCACGTTCCAATAATCATGAAGCTTCCGATCCGGATCTCCTTGTTAATTGTTCAACTAATAGCTCTCCGACACATTTTCCATCTATAAGCTCTCATGTGCAACCTGCACAGG